GAGGAGGAGGAGGAGGAGGATGGGGACGTGGATGAGGGAGGAGGAGGAGGAAGAAAAAGGAGGAGAAACAACACTATTCGCATAAACACGATTAATGGTAATGCTGATAAGCGTGCGACTACTAATACTCGTACGCGTAAGACGCATTGCAACACAACACGATGACGCCTAATCGTACTAGGACGAGTACAATGACACGAATGATGTTTTGATTGCTACCAATGATCACCATACTCATAATCATAATACTACCGATAACGATACACATGCTACTGCAGCTGGTAATAACAGTAGTAGCAAGTATACGAGTAACATGTTTACTCGTTATGTTGCACATGCGAAGGGCAGTAGCAATAACACTACCAACACTCAGCAACAACAGTACTAACAACATTACGTATAGTACGGGTACGGCCTATACTAACACTGATACTAAAAGCACGAACAGTACGAATACTGATCATACGAATACGAATGCAGATAATCTTTCTAATCGTACGAGTACGAATACTAATGATAATATAGAATTAAGAGTACGAATGCGAATACGAATCCGAGTACAAATGCGAGTACGAATGCGAGTACGAATCATCATCACCGTCATCATACTCATCAAACTCAGCATCGTAATCATGATACTTATAAAGATAAGAAACATATCCTCATTACAAAGAGCTAGCAATAATACGAACGCGAATGCGAACATACGAATAATAATACGAGGAGGAGGAGGTGGAGGAGGAGGATGAGGAGGAGGAAGAGGAGGAGGAGGAGGAGGAGGAGGAGGAGGAGGAGGAGGAGGAGGAGGAGGAGGAGGTGGGGGAGGGGGACGGGGGAAGGGCTGGGAGAGGGGGGGGGGGGGCGGGGGAAGAAGAGGATGAGGATGAGAGTGAGGAGGAGGAGGAGGAGGAGGAGGAGGAGGAGGAGGCAGAGGAGGAGGAGGAGGATGAGGACCGGTGTATACACGCCTCGTCAACGATGTTGGCATTCACCCTCCCTCCAAGCTTCCCCTTCATAGGCCCCATACAAGAGTTCGTTTCTTCGTAGGGAATTGCCCCAATCGGGGACAACCGTGTGAAAATCATGAAGCGCGCCAGAACACCATTCTCGTAATTTCAACGCCACGAGTGAAACTGACTGCTGCATCTGGGCGGTCCGGAATCGTGCAGAACATCAGCCTTGGGACTTCAACACCGCGAATCAACGTACACGTCGGTCGTTAAAAGCAGGTACTTTTGGATTTCCCTGTCACGAGATATTTTAGGCGCCTTCCGACTTCAAGAGTCGAGATGCTTTTGCGGTGTTTCGCTACTCTATGGGAGGGTTTGAGCCCAATCTGTTTTACCCGCCATCCTACTTCACGTTCTTGCACACTTCTTCCGACTGCCGTGTAATTGTTGCGCCCCGACAATCCTGAATCATTCCAGAACATGTTTGCTACGCTAGCCACGATAACCAGCGAAGCGCTTACATTTGTTAGAACGATAGTGCACGCGCTAAAGGCGAGTGCCACAATGTTGTAAACCACCCGCTTTCAATCCGTGTAACTCATGCAAATGTTTGAAAGAATGCGCGCGGCGTTAAGGCCATAACCACAGTTTGAGACCACCCGCCTTGCATCCGTGAAGCTCTTGCAAGTGTTAAAACGAATGTCCGCGGCGCTGAGGCGCAAGTCACATTTTGAAACCGTCCCGCCCATAATCCGTGAATTGATTGCAGGTGTGTAAGACGAGTGTACTCAGCGCTAAGGCGAGAGCCACATTTAGAAGACCACCCGCCCTCAAATAGTGAAGTTGTTGCAAGCTTTAAAAAGCGAATGTGCGCGGCGCTGAGGCGAGAGCCACATTTCGAAAGCGGCCCGCCCTCAATCCGCGAAGCTCTTGTAAATGCGAAGCGCTAAGGCGGGAGCCACATGTTGAAAGCCACCCGCCCTTCATCTGCGAAGTTGTTCCCACTTTTAGTTCAGGCTCATGGGGGTAAGAAAGTCTCAGGCGAAACGCCCGGCCCGCCCTTCCGATTGGCCTCGGGGTGCGACAGTGCGTATCCAGAAAGAAAACGAGATGAAGAGAAGGAGGAGGAGGAGGAGGAGGAGGAGGGGGAGGAGGAGGAGGAATCTGAATAAGAAGACGATTAAAACTCAGATCACGAACAATAATACTCAGAAGGCGAAGACGAATAATACTATGAGTAATGATGCTGATACTACGAAACATATCAGAAACCATAGACGTAATAAGAAGCATGGGAGGAGGATGAGGAGGAGGAGGACGAGGACGAGGACGAGGACGAGGACGAGGAGGATGAGGATGAGGAGGAGGAGGAGAGAAGAAGACGAAAGAGGAGGAAGAGGAACAGGAGGAGGAGGAGGAGGGGGAATAGGAGGAGGAGCACGGGGAGGAGGACGGGGAGGAGGACGGGTTAACCATATTTGAGCACTTGCACAGCACAGCGTGCAGGAGGAGGATGAGGAGGAGGCGGGGAGGAGCAAGAGGAGGAGGAG